TTTGCGAGGGACGGTGGGTCGGGTGAGTATCTCGCGCGCTCGCACTATTTCACGTTATATGAGGCACTGCCCTTGAGTGCCTTTGCAGAACCGCCAGCGGCGGTGGTTGAACCGTTCGCGGTTCGAGCCGGGAGCTTTTGGCTCCAGGTTCGGAACTCGCGTGGAGGGTTGCTTCGCGGTAGCGAACGCGAGCGGCGCAAGCGCGCGCGCGCGCGCGCGCGGCTGCAAGGCGAGGCGCAGGCGCAGGCGCAGGGGCAGGCAAGGCGAGGCGGGCGGCGGCGGCGCGCGATCGTTCCTCTTTTTTGCCCGGGTGAGGCGTGGCGAGCGCGTCGCGTGGTGGATGACGCCGCACGCGGAGAACCTCTTGGTGACCCACCGCGGTGGCAGCGAGCCAGAGCAAGCGACCTGCCGCATGACGGGTGGACCTCGAAAAGAGAGCTTTTTAGAGTAAACAAACGCCACATTGTCGTGCAGGCGCGGCGCACGCCGCGCTGCACCAGGCCCGCCGCTACAGGATGTCGTGCGCCTCAAAGGCGCGGAAGAGGCGGCTCGCGACGTTCTGGACGAGGACGCCGGGGTCGTTTTCGATGATGTCGGTGAGGACGGGCTTGAGCCGGTGCCGCTCGACGAGCAGCTTTGGCGAGCGGTGGTGCTCGTAGAGCGAAGTCATGATGTCGAGCAGCAGCCGGCGGACGAGGGCGTCCTGGTGCCTCAGCCGCTTGACGAGCGACGAGACAAAGGGCGAGACTCCGGCGTGGCCGGCGAGCTTGCCGAGCGCGCGGTTGACGGGCGCCGAGTTGTACACGATCTGACGGAGCGGCTCGAGCATGTTGACGAACGAGTTGTTGCCGCAGTCCATCACGCCCTGCAGCGCCTGCACGCCCTGCGGCCCCTCCATCACCTGATACGATGTGAAACTAATCATCTCACCGTGTCTCCTCTGCTCGCCCTGCGGCCCGCTCCCTCACCTTTGAGACGTACGCCCCCTCGTCGAGCAGCCAGACCAGCAGCGCGTCCAAGGCCGCCTCCTGCCAAAACTCGGTCGCGAGCAGGCCGAGGTAGAACTGCACCCCGCGGTGGTGCTTGAGCTCGGCGCGGGCGCGCTTCGACGCCTTTGCGATGTCGCACACGATGGGCAGCGCAAACTGCTTGAGCGGCGACCCCTGCTCGATGA